CAGTTCGTCGAAGCAGGACTGCTTGGAGCTGAAATCCAAGACTGAGAAGCTGGCGGGGTTACTCCGGCAGGCGGCGAGAGCCAGCTCCGACCTCTACGAGCGCCCTACTCGGCGGATCATCGACGAGACTGAGCAGGTGCTCGATAAGGCTCTGTCTTTGGTTCTCAAATGCCGAGCCAACGGCATCATGAAGCGAGTCTTCACCATTATCCCGGCTGCGCAGTTCCGAAAAATGTCGTCCCAACTTGAAAACTCCATCGGCGACCTGTCGTGGCTGCTCCGGGTGTCGGCTCCTGCGGATACCAGGGAAGATGGATACTTGGGACTGCCTCCAATCGCTGCTAACGAGCCAATTCTGTGCCTCATTTGGGAGCAGATTGCAATTCTGCATACTGGGTCGGTTGATGATCGATCTGATGCAGCAGCTTCGCTTGTTTCGCTTGCTCGGGACAATGATCGGTACGGGAAGCTGATAATTGAGGAAGGTGGAGTCGGGCCCTTGTTAAAATTGGTCAAAGAGGGCAAACCGGAAGGCCAAGAGAACGCCGCCGAGGCACTCGGGCTGCTTGGCCGTGATCCGGAGAACGTGGAGCACATGATCCACGCCGGTGTGTGCTCGGTGTTTGCAAAAATCCTCAAAGAAGGTCCGATGAAGGTGCAAGCAATGGTGGCCCAGGCGGTGTCGGAGCTTGCAGGTCACTACCCCAAATGCCAGGACCTTTTTGCGCAGCATAACATCATTCGGCTGCTGGTTAGCCATCTTGCTTTTGAAACTGTTCAGGAGCACAGTAAGTATTCTATTACCTTCAACAAAGCGACGTCGATTCATGCCGTTGTGGTGGCAACCAATAATTCGAATGCGAATGACCATTCGAACAAGGCGGGTGAGGAGGATGAGAAGCAGGGTTACAGTCGCATTCCTCATCCGTTGGGTAGTCGAGCCCCGAGTCGGTTGCACAATGTGGTTGCTACTACCATGGCAATGCAGGGCGGGTCGAAGCCTGGTGGGAGTCAAACCACTAATGCCAAGAGCAATGGAAACGGAACTATCAACGGAAAGCAGAATCCTCAGCACCAACAGTCTCACCATCATCATAATCTTTCCGGGACGAGCATTAAGGGGAGGGAGCTGGAAGACCCTGCCACCAAGGCCAACATGAAAGCAATGGCGGCCAGAGCTCTTTGGCAGCTAGCCAAGGGGAACTCGCCTATTTGCCGCAGCATCACGGAATCCAGAGCACTGCTATGTTTTGCAGTGCTCTTGGAGAAGGGCTCCGAAGATGTTCAGCTCAATTCTGCGATGGCATTAATGGTGATCACAGCAGTAGCAGAGAAAGATGCTGAGTTGAGAAGATCAGCCTTCAAGCCTAATTCCCCGGCTTGCAAGTCTGTGGTTGACCAACTACAGAAGATTACTGAGAAAGCTGATGCAGATTCAGACCTCCTGATTCCATGCATCAAAGCTATTGGGAATTTGGCAAGGACGTTTCGGGCAACTGAGACGAGAATGATTGGCCCGTTAGTGCGGCTTCTCGATGAAAGAGAGGCTGAGGTCACCAGGGAGGCTACCATTGCCCTCACAAAGTTTGCCTGTACAGACAACTATCTTCATCTCGACCATTCCAAGGCGATAATAAGTGCTGGTGGCGCTAAGCACTTGATCCAGCTTGTGTATTTCGGGGAGCAAATTGTTCAAATTCCCGCACTGGTTCTCATGTGCTACATTGCACTTCATGTACCCGACAGCGAAGAACTTGCCCAGGCTGAGGTGCTCACGGTGCTCGAATGGGCATCCAAGCAATCATATATGACCCAAGATGAATTGATCGAAATGTTGTTGCAAGAAGCGAAGAGCAGGTTGGATCTTTACCAGTCCAGGGGCTCGAGGGGATTCCATTGATTCAATCACAAGGCAGAGTGGTCTTCCCATACCCGAAACAAAAAGGAACACATTTCATTTTTTTTCTCTTGTTTTTATGATTCTCATTGAGTGTACATACTATGTAATTTACAACTTTCTCAGTCAAATTAAAATCTTCTTCTGAATTTCCGTTTACCCTCCGTTGTTGTCGTTAAAACGGGTGATCAGAAGTTCGGATTCTTGACATATCAAGTTATTTTCCCTATGTAATTAACTTCTTGAAGCGAATACAAACGAGTTTCTTGTTTTAGCATACGTCTAAGTTCAGATTTTTATGCTAAAGATGGTTGTTATTCGCGTTATTAGCAGATTTGCTGACAAACTTTTGCTTAATGTACTATAGTTCCTAAAACATCTTAAGAACGGAATGCTAACTGGACCGGAGTGGCACTTGATCTGGTTTTGTAGCCGTCGTGAGATAAAATTTCAAACACCGCGCCGTAAAACTAGATTAAACTTTAATTCTGTTCATCTGATTACATCAGTAACTAAATTATGAATGCTTTGAAATCAGAATGCAGAAGTAAAACGAATATCTGCAGTATACAAATCTCTGCACCAATCAGGATTCGTGATCGATCTTGCGTAATCAGCAAGACATTGTTTGGGTAATTATATAAGTACCAGCTGATGGATGACTTTCCTTCAGCCATCGAAAGTGCAGGTTTTCTGAACGAAAATATGGTAAGAAAGGAAAAACACAATGTTTCCAAGCCAAATACAACCTACAATAATGAAATTCCATGCAAGTTGAGAGGGAGGGAGGGAGAGAGAGCATTTTCAACGTGAACCGTTTAGAAAAATCGACATGAAACCAGGGCTAGTCCGAGTGAGCTAATTCAAGTCGCGGTGCACGTTGAAATGTTTCTGAGAAGATAACCAAAAAAATGATCTGAGCAATTTTCTAACTGGACAACCAGGAAACGAAAAACAACTTGTTTCCAAATCGCCACTTTGGCGAGTAGGCCGCAAGTACTAGACAACAATATACATGAGCTTGACAAATCTGATGTAGCTAAAACCTTAACCAATGCTCAAGAACCAACCACTTTGGGGGAGTAGGTGACAAGAATAATGGACACCAATTAAGAACATAAAAAACCTGAATCAATGCTCGAGAACTCACCAAGCTGGCGAGTAGGTACCGGGAATTATACGCCAATCTGCATCAGAAGAATGGGTCTCCTTGTAAAAATCTGCAGCTGTTTGAGTACATAATTGCAAGAAACAGAAATTACAGCTTCGAACTAGCGGAACAGAGTCAATGTCCTGGTTAGTAAGAAATAGTGGAATACTGATTCCAGAACTTAGAACTTTGGAGAAATTGGCTACTCACTCACAAACTGTATCAACGCCGAAATTGGTTAAACCAATGTTTCTTCTAACACGGTGTTCATTCAGGTTTACAAATGTCTGAGGCATTATGCAGTTACATCTCATAGTTGGTGCACAAATCTTCTCCGTCCAGTATACACCGTGGGCGGTCTCAAATCAAGAACCAACCCCTTCCATTCCAAGTACAATACCACCCGTTGCGCCACACTCGGGTGATAGTGTTATGATCTTGGCTACATCAGAAATGGTGCAGTAGTAATTAAGTCCTTGGGGTCCTCTCATCTATTGGACTTAGGTACTCAAGCCCAAGGGAAGAGCCCCAACTCAAAAGACTAGTCCAATAGGTGGGAGGACCCCAAGAACTTAAGTACCACTACACCGGCTACATTAGAAATGGTGTAGTGGTACTTAAGTTCTTGGGGTCCTCCCACCTATTGGACTAGTCTTTTGGGTTGGGCTCTTCCCTTGGGCTTGAGTATGATGTATATTTAGCAAGCACTTCTTGATGGAAATAGTTCATCTTGACCCAGTAAACATCTTATTGCTTTCAAATGAGAATTTGCTTTAACAGTCTCCACAAGCAAATAGTGAGAACAAAATTTCAGCTAAAAGGTGTGAAAAAATCAGATACAGAAGCAATTAACCATGACATTGCAGAGATCACGAAGACATGAGTGATGAACATTTGATTACATTTCAGAAATTGAGAATCGGAAACTCACCCAGTGACTCCTTGAATTCAAACAAGTGCAAAAGTAAATGCTCTTAAATAACTATGTTACTGACCACTCTAACACCTGCTCCTACTTCAAATTGTCCTTGTCCAATAACATGCACTAATTAAAATGCAACGTTTATCATCTTGTCTTTAAAAGCCTCTCCAATGGCATGGTTTCGGGGTCATCATTCACATTTACATCGCAATTAGTCTTGTTCTCATCGTTAGTATGCACACATGAACAATTTCGAATCCGAGATGGTTAATTAACCAGCAAGGGACTACAGAGTGTAGTGCAAAACCGTCTTGGAATTTCGGTTGTTTATCCGCGAGCTCAGACACTGCCCAAGACACACAAAAAGAAGGCTTTTTATTCATCTGACTAAAGAATTTGTAAATTCGAATAATTTGTACACATTGATTGAGTTAAGGGCATCCCCTTGAGCCCCTGGACTGATGAGGAAGATTCAGCCTACTCTTAGCCTTCTGTAACAATGTGTTCAGCGTTTCGCCTTGGGTCATATAAGATTGATTCGACGCCCATTTAAGTGCGGTAAGCATCTCAGCCCGTGTAGGCTCTTCAATCTCTGGTGCAATGTTGCAGATGAGAGCCAAGGCGCGAATTTGAATAATCCGTCTCTCAAAATACAAAAGCTGGATTAATTGCATAGCCCCTCCAACACGTACTATTTGCTTGGAAAAATCATGGGGAAAATAGTCGTTTGGACGTAAGAATTTTGTGAGGGCAATGCAAGCCTCGAACATCTCATCTTCTGTTTCTTGTGGAAATCCGACCAATGCGTCCATCATCCTTGTTTCTGTTGCCACAAAGGCCCATGCCAAACTCCCAACAGCTTTGATGCATATGATTACGAGCTCTGGATCTGCCTTATCGGTGATCTTTATTAGTAATTGATCACCGACATATTTCCAAGCCGGAGAATTTGAACTCAAGGCTGATCTCCTCAACTCGGCATTATTCTCTGCCGCTGCGGCGATCTCCATTAATGCCTTGGCAGAGTAGAATCAAACATCTTCAGAACCCGTTTCCAATAGCATTGCGAAATATAATAGCGCTCCTGAGTTCGAGAGGCTATGGCAAATGACTGAGTTCCCCGTGGCTAGTTTCCAAAGTGCTGTTGCTGCCATTGCTTTCATTTCTGCCATGGTGGCATGGTCGTCATTGGCATTGACGTCACTATCAGTTTCAGGTGCGTGATGGCTAACGAGCAAGGGGACAGCATCGTGCTGCGCAAAACCATGTTGGCATTCGGGGTGTTCATCCGCGAGCATAGACACGGCCCAGGCCACAACAACCTGAACTTTCATGGGGGCTTCTCTAAGGATTTTTGCAAACACTTTAAACACGCCCGCATGTATCATGCGTTCGACACCTTGCCGAACAAGTGCCAGCAGCCCAAGGGTCCTGGCAGCATTCTCTTGTTCTTCCATTGTACCCTCTTGGACTAACTTCAATAAGGGTTCGACTCCACCTTCCTCAACAATGAACTCCGCAATTCGACAGTCGTCCCGGACAAAAGATCTGAGAGCAGATGCTGCATCAGATCGACATTCAAGTGAAACAGGCTAGCGGCGAAGAATAGCAATCTGCTCCCAAATAATGAACAGAATCAACTCGTTAGATGCGATTGGAGGCAGCGTCGAGTACTCGTACCCACAGTTCCAAATGAGATGTAGAATCCACGAGACATCTTGGATTGAATTGTCGAGTAACCTAGAGATAATGCGGAAGTCAGATAAGGGGGTGGTGGTGGTGAAGCAAAGCTTGATCTTGTCAATGACAGTGCAACTGACAGGACAACGCTTGAGCAGCTTGGACAGAAACCGGCTGAGGATTTGTTCGACGCCGTTGAGTACGAGCCGTTGTAGGCGACCGTAGGAACCGAGGACGGAGAGGTCACGGCTGAGGAACTGGCGGAGCAGCCCCGCCAACATTCGAGTCTTGGATTTGAGCTTGGTCGGCAAGTTCGAGCGTCTTGGCCAATATTTGCTTCACCAGTATTCTTGCTCTGCAATGTCAATCAAATGAATTCAGATTCAACACTAAAAAGAAAGAAAAGAAATGGGAATCACAAAGAGCAGAAATGTGGGGAATTTTTCTTCACAAAGCCGCGAATATAAAGCCAAACGGTTTTAATCTGTTAGGCTTTGACCGGGCTTTTTCCTGCGTTTAGTATCATCCACTTTGTTATGGACACGTCTCAATTTCGTACTTTAGAGTAGGAATTTTTAAGAGTTGAATTTTAATTTTTGTATATTTAATACCGATATTGCGACAAGTCTCGATTCTGATATTCCCCGAATACCAAGGTAGGTACATGCTAACCGAAATCCAAAGGTGACGAAGCCATATTATAATGCATGAGAAGAAGAAATAAATAAGACTTGTAAATTTAAATATAAATTAATATGCGTGTTCAGAGCATACAACTAATTCTATACACTAGAAAAGAAATAATATAAAATTGAATGAGCAAAGGAATGAGTCCTACACCGAGAGGACTTGAAGATGCCGATGCGAAAGTGCCTTGACGCATGGATTGTATGCCTCGAATTTAAATCCTGAGAGGGCGCAAAACAAATATGAGTGGACCAAATTGATATATATATATATACTAAAATAATTATCAACATACTAACCTCCAGAGTTTATAAAAACATCAATAGCATAATACGTAATAGATATTCCGAAAACTCTAGCATGCCATAGAACCTTCATGGAATATATCTCGTATATAGTGTGCTAACTAGTGCTATCAGTGTCGCCCAAAGGCATACAGAACTCTTCCTTCAGAACACTTCCGTCATAAGTATCAATCGCTCGTAGGCTCCTACAACACCTAACCCAAAGGTCAATATATAGTATCATCGCCCGTAGGCTTCAATAGCACCCGACCTGAAGGTCAATATATAGTATCATCGCCTGTAGGCTCCTACAGCACCCAACCCGAAGCTCAATAATAATGATCACTAGGTACACACAAAACATTGAACATAGTCTTTCCAAACATAGGTACATATATCTCAAAATTCATAATATAAAGTTATCCATCATTTATACTATAAAGAAGTGTGTAAAAGCATATTCATAAGCAGTATAAAGGCATCCATCATCTATACTACAAAGAACTTGAGTTCGATAAAATATGGTATTCCAAAATATTCTTAGTAAGCAACCTAGTTGTTAGAATGAAACCTTATTTGTTTAAATAGTTTGATCAATGTCCCTAGCATCATTTAAGTGAATAACTATTGATATATTTTAAAACATAAAATAAACATATATAATTAGCATGGGTACGTATAAAAAAAAAATATTGGTACAAATTAAATTAAAAATATGGGTACATATTAAAATTCCAAACCACGGGTACAAATTAAATTGAAAATATGGGTACATATTAAAATTCAAAATTATGGGTACAAATTAAAATTAAAAATAATATTAGTATAAATTAAAATTAAAAACAATATTAGTATAAATTAAAAAAAAAGATACAAATTATAAATAGAAATATATGGAAAAAAAAATACTAAAAAAACTATATTTGAAAATGATTAATAATTTTTTTATTTTTAAATTGACATATAATGACTTGTAAATAATTTAATATTCAAATAATGAGATGAAGAAAAGTCAAGGGACCTTGATCAAAAATGAAAAAATAATAAGGTTTTAATTAATGAGAATGAGAAATGAGGGATGAGAACCTAATTTATCATTATATATAACTATTTTTGGATTAGTTTCTTACGAAAATTAATGAAAAGTTCAAAAAAAACTTCCCTTTTAATGAAAAATCTTTTTTAAAGGTATAGTGAATTGCACCAGGAAAAGATATAAATGTGATTTTTTGTTAAAAGTGAATAGTGCTGGGAATGTTTTGTTAAACCTCCCTAGTTTCTTTCAAATATTAATAAAAAATAAAAGGTCACACGCATGACGCAACAAAACCAACTGTGGTCTTTTTTGGTTCACTACACAACCTGTGATGGATGCTCAGAATTAGGCCTGATAATTCCTGATACTACCCGATAACCTGACACGAAATTAACAAATGTTCGGATCGACACAATAACGAATCAAGTCGTTATCGGATAACTCGATAAGCACATATTAAGATAACGGGTTGGTTCGGGTATACACGTGGGTAACACAATACGCGATAAGCAAAATATTAATTTTATAATTTTATAACCCTGAAAAAATACTATAATAATTATATATATTAATTTAACAATTTTATACCCCTAAAAACTATAATAATTATATATATATAGGGGTGTGATATTCACACACCATTTTTTACTTCTCCCACACCTGTTTAGTTTTCAACCATCAGATCAAATGAATTGAAGAATATTAACGGACATAAACTAACAAAAAGTGTGTGAGAAGTAAAAATGGGTGTGTGGATAGCACACCCCTATATATTAAATTAAATTTAAAAAATTAGTGACCATTGGATCGGCTGAGATTTAATCTCAGTTGTCCATTGTCCATTAGATTGGAGGATATCCTTTTCTTCTCTTTCATTCACTCTGATATCTCTAGTTCATACTTACTCCCACGCCGTCTCCTTAATCCGCATCTTTTTCGCATCCTCCTCTGTTGGCAAGGTTTAAATTTTTTAGAAATGTTTCACAACTTTGAAAACAAAAATTCTTTCATTTTGCATATCCTTGCTAGGGATAGACAACGGTTATGGTAGACGGGTAACTGTGGTTATTTACCCATAACCATTTAAGTTTTTACCAACATAATCGTTTACACGTTGGGCTTTTACATAAACGGGTATACCCATACCCATAACCGTTTATAAACGGTTAACCATACTCATAACCGCATACCCATTTACCCATAACCGCGTACCCTTTTACTTTTTTTTTACCTGTCTACCTATTTTTTTAACTTGAAAATTAAAAAGAAATTTGTCATAATTTTCTTTTTTTTCTAACTATTAAATACCGTTATAAGTACATTTAACATGTATTTTTATATTAACGGCAATATTATTTATGAATATATGCGATGTCTCCCAATTATTTGACGGCCAATCTATTACAAGAATCATGCATGGTTGTAGGTTAATTAATATTCTTGTATACATACATACATATATATATATATATATATATGTAAGTACGCATCAGTATGCTAATAGGCTAATTTGATAAATATTTGGATTTTTATTTAGAAACATATGTTCATCGATCCAAGCCATTTAATCGATTTCTAATTTTGGGGTCAAATATTTACTGAAAACTCGAGACCAATTAAATATATATATATATAGGTACACATCATCTAATAATAACATGTTTCTAAATGCTCAAGGTAATCATTATCTTGAATTGGTCAAAACTCCAAAACACTCCAAAACAAAACTGTCGAACACTAATACTTTAGCTCATTCAATCACATATATTAAACATTAACCCATTCTATCAACTATATTTTTCTCTCAAGTGAGGCATATATATATATATATATATATATTATATGACCCTTTATAACCAAATATATCTCGGGATACTAAACTTAGTTAGAAACTAATTTTTTTTATTTTTAGTTTTACATATATTAAAATAAACGATTAAATGGATACCCATTTATAACAGCAGGTAGTATCCATAACCGTCCATTTAAATTTCACGGGTAAACGGTTACACCCATAACGATTTATTTATCTAAATGGTTACCCATAACCGTAACTGTCAAATTTAAATGAGCGGATAACCTCGGTTACCCATAACCAATGAGTATTTGCCCATCCCCAGTGAGGATCCTCCTGACCAAGCCCATCGGGCCGTTCAAATTTTATCCAACGGCTACAATTATTATAACTTTTAGAGGGGCCCCCTGTTTGTAGCCGTTGGATAAAATTTCAACGGCTCGATGGGCTTGGTTAGGAGGATCCTGATCCGCATGTTTTGATATGGGTCTAATGTATTTCATAGTCATAGGTAAGGTCTAATAAGTAGAGCAATTAAAGTGTCCATAATTTGAAAACAAAATTACACCTACTGTCGTTGAATGTTTTATCATGACTCTTCCAGAATTAACATGGAACTTTAAGTTACACATCAAATCTCATCATTTCATAAAAAAAACTCTCATATTTTTTAGTGTAAAATATATCGTTATATTAAAAAAAACAAAAAAAAAAGAAAAAAGGCTATTCATCAAATCTCGTCGTTTTATCAAAAACTCTATCCTACTCCTGTTTTGAATTTTCCTTGCAATGCCTATAGATTAGTATCCAAATTTGAATTTGAATTCGCATGAAGTTATGAGAACTACAAGAAATTTTACATGTTTTCGTTGAGTCGTTTACAATAGTAAGCTTCATTTTTGCTAGTATTTGTTACATGATTCGCAAGCATTATACATTGATTGTTTTATGTAAGTAATTGCTTAAGAGGCTTTTGACATTGATTATGTTAGCTTCGAGGGCTTTTAACATTACCAAGATGAAGGACTACATCTTACTGTTAAAATCATGTAAAATTACTTATTCCACCATGATAGGTAGTTACAATATGATAGGTAGTTTAGCTTGTACAAGTACTTATATGGCTGGTAGTTCAGACTGTAAAAGTACTTATATAATAGGTAGTTTAGATTATAAAAGATCAGTTGAAATCTAAGTTTATGCCGGACCCGCTTCCACCACCGTAGCACGATATTGTCCGCTTTGGGCTTACCATTCCCTCACGGTTTTGTTTTTGGGAACTCACGAGCAACTTCCCAGTGGGTCACCCATCATGGGATTGCTCTAGCCCCCTTCTCGCTTAACTTCGGAGTTCCTACGGAACCCGAAGCCAGTGAGCTTCCAAAAGGCCTCGTGCTAGGTAGGAATGAGAATATACATATAAGGATCAGTCCCCTGGGCGATGTGGGATATCACATAGTTTAGCTTGTACAAGTACTTATATGACATGTAGTTTAGACTGTAAAAATACTTATATGATAGGTAGTTTAGATTGTAAAAGATTAGCTGAAATCTGGGTTTATGTCGACTACTAGGGTACCTGAGTTGAAAAAAAAAAAATAAAATAATATAGGTGTCCGAAATTTTGGAAATGTCCTAAATTAATTTTAGGAAATATGTGGTGCGAATAGAATGACTCTAACTTTGGCTTATAGCACACAGTTTTTTGTGAAAAAAAAAATTTGTAATTTTTAGCTTTAACAAATATTTTGCGCTAGAGTTAAGGAAAATATTGCAAAACCTTTGTATGTGATCCTACCGATTATTAGATCCTGAAACTATTTTTTATTGATTCTTAAAGTGAGAAAATAGAAAAATATCTTTAAATTTAGGTTTTAAATCATTGATTACAAGTGTTTAAAAATAAATTATAATATATTTTGCATGGAAAAAATATATTTTGAAAAACACGAATATGATAATTTGTTGTTATGGTAAGAGAAATAAAAGAAACATTAACAAAATAAAAAATAAAAATAAAACACTGAAAAAAAAAATTGAAAAGGGATGGATCGGTATGAAAATAGCGACTTTTTTGGGAATCAGTCGCTAACTTTATAGCGATTATCCTCAAAGAGAATACATAGTAAAGTACCGATCGTATCATTTTCTATATATATATATATATATATATATATCTAATTTCAACACGCAATGTTATTCAATGATTGGTCGTTCAATTTCAAGTCATTAAACAAAAGGTCAAATTTGCAAAAAAAAAAAAAAAGAAAAAAACCAAATAAAAAGTTCTCTAGTCATTTGTTCAACACCGTGATAATTTTAGTGACAAACTCAATATTCATTCATTTATTTGATAAACTAGCCGTTTAATCATTTTCTAATCTTTACCTAAAAAACGATTAAATAAAAAATAGATGATTTTGATAATCAAATTAGATAGCAGAACAAACGAAACAAAATGAAGAAGGTAGATTGCATTCTTTAAAATTACGATGTCCATTTGTACAAAGTACTTATGGTGTGTAGTAATACACTTGTATGGTATGTGACCAAAGTCACAATCATCTTTTGACAGGGGTCTCAGCCTATACAGCAAAACTTGGGTGTTGCACTGTTTGTGAATCAAAAAAATCAAAGAAAAATTAACGAAAAATTCATAAAAAACTTCATTTTTAATGAAAAGTTATTTTTAAAAGTACAGTGAATAGTATCAAAAAAATGTATAAATATGATTTTTCGTTAAAAGTAAACAGTACCGGGCTGTTTTGTTAAACCTCCCAAAAATCAAAGGTTGGGTGAGAGTCATACATTACACAAAAGACTTATCCTCTCATCTGCCACTGCATTGGCCTTCAAATCTCTACCACCAATCTTTAATCCAAAACCCACCAAAAAGATCCCCCATTTCTTCAACAAATTTTCTCATCAATCATCAAACTTTTGCTTCTCTTTCATTTCTTCTCCCTCTTCTGCTTCCTCAGCATTCTAACTCCACAACCATGGCTGCAGCTGTAACTGCTGCTGTCTCCTTCCCCTCCTCCAAGTCTTCCTCCCTCCCCACCAGGACCTCCTTAATCTCACCTGACAGAATCACCCTCAAGAAGGTAAAAAATTTCACGTCCTGGTAAATCAATCACTTGGGGACCAAGTTCGAGTTCCGCTTCGTCTAATTTCGATGAAATTAGTGTAGAATACCGCTTGTACGAAACAAAATTATGTGACATGGGTTGTTGTTGGTTTCTTCAGGTTCCTTTGTACAACAGCAATGCTGGTGGGAGAGTGGTGTCCATCAGAGCCCAGGTGACCACCACCGAGACTGCGCCACCTGCCAAGGTTGTGAAGGAATCCAAGAAGCAAGATGAAGGGGTGGTTGTCAACAAGTACAAGCCCAAGAATCCGTACATTGCCAGAGTCCTCCTCAACACTAAGATCACTGGTGATGATGCGCCTGGTGAGACCTGGCACATGGTCTTCAGCACAGAGGGTATGTTCCAAGCCTAATAATTTCTTTTGGTAATATGCACAAATACCCCTTACAAATTTTTAATAAATAATAGAACTCAAGGGACACTAAAGTGGTTTATATTATCATGACCGCTTAAGTGCTTGTTGTGTGTTTATTATGTTTATTGTATCCCGGTTCTAATGTGCGGAAAAATGTGTAACCGGTTCTATTTGTGCATATTTCCCAATTCGTTTTCGTCTTGAACTAGTGACTTACAACAACTACCCTTACTTGTATTTGCTTGTAGGAGAGGTGCCCTACAGAGAAGGGCAGTCCATTGGAGTTATTCCAGAAGGTGTTGACAAAAATGGGAAGCCTCACAAGCTGAGGTTGTACTCAATTGCCAGCAGTGCTCTCGGTGACTTTGGAGACTCCAAGACTGTGAGTGTTTACATTTTTTCCTATCATATGTACAATCCATTGGATTTTCTGCTCATGTTGTTTACCAAAGTGATGTGAATATGCTGCCATTTTAACACGAAATGTTGCAACTTTAGGCAATTAGTAAACACGTTTCATTGATCCGAAATTTTCGATTGATACTTAAAATCTGATTGCCTCCGTCCAGGTTTCTCTGTGTGTGAAACGTCTCGTGTACACCAATGACGCAGGCGAAATTGTTAAAGGAGTGTGTTCAAACTTTTTGTGTGAGCACACAGATCTCTACTTCTACGAAGTTATTATTCCATTGAGGCACTAAGAAAAACCAATTTGTTCTTTACCACAAAATCAGAACATCTTGTTATAAATTTTCCTGTTTCAGGTGACTTGAAGCCCGCAAGTGAAGTGACGATCACCGGGCCAGTTGGAAAAGAAATGCTTATGCCAAAAGACCCTAATGCAACCGTCATCATGGTATAAGTACTTGCCATATTACGTATTTAGGAAGACAACTCCATCATCAAATGTTTTACCCCGTGTAAGTAGTGTTGGTTTTCTGAAATTTCTTTACTAATGCAGCTTGCAACTGGAACTGGAATTGCTCCTTTTAGAGCATTCTTGTGGAAAATGTTCTTCGAGAAGCACGAAGACTACAAGGTAAGCATTACCGCTAGGTTTTTTCCTTTAGACACTTTCGGACATAGAACACTCCAGCCCGCTGCACATGAAAATTACACACTCATAAAACGTTACTCAAGTGCATACATGACCAATGAATTCTCATTTGTTCTTTGATTGGCTCTTCGTCTAACGAACGATCAAATTTTGACATTGCGTGTAGTTCAATGGTTTGGCATGGCTCTTCTTGGGTGTTCCTACAAGTAGCTCACTGCTCTACAAGGAGGTAAGATATGCCAAGACACAAGATTTTCTTAATTCCAAGTCAATCCTTTTCAATTCGCCGAAAATTTGACTTAAAAGGAAATACTTGTGGGATACAGGAATTCGAGAAGATGAAGGAGAAGGCCCCCGAAAACTTCAGGCTTGACTTCGCCGTCAGCAGAGAGCAAACCAACGAGAAGGGTGAGAAGATGTACATCCAAACCAGAATGGCTCAGTATGCAGAAGAGCTATGGGAGTTGCTCAAGAAAGACAACACCTACGTCTACATGTGTGGTCTCAAGGGAATGGAGAAGGGTATCGATGATATCATGGTCTCGTTGGCTGCCAAAGACGGTAAGAACTATGGATTGCATTGCTCGCTTTTGTTGAAAAATGTAAAATCCCATGTCGAAAATTTGACAAAACAAAGTATAATATATAACGAATGGTTCTAATACCAATTGCACATAGGCGTTTTGTGATAAAAAGTTAAAAAACCTTACGTATGTTGTGCTAGTAAGTGATAATATGCAAGTTGGGGACATTATTAATGTGATCAGTGGTGGGGGTTGCCGGTCCGTCTCTCTGAAATCTTGACAAAATTTTGATAGAAGATTTTTGTGCTCTGATAAATTTTGCAGGCATTGACTGGATAGACTACAAGAAGCAGTTGAAGAAATCAGAGCAATGGAATGTGGAAGTCTACTAATTTCTGGTCATCTTGTACAAATCTCTCTATCTCTCTCTCTCTCTCTCTCTCTCTCTCTGCGCGATAAAACAAGGAAATCTTAAAAGATTACCACTGCAGTATGTAGATAGGTGAAAGTCTTTGCATCTCTATTTTTTTTTTTTTTTTTTTTGCCTTCTATTTTAATGAAGCTTTTGTATTATACTATTAAAAAATGGCGACAATAATTTTATTTATGAGGGTGCAAATTTAGTGGAAACCTTGTAGGCTCGATGTTCCTCTTCTCTCGTTTCAAGAAAGTGAACATGTTGTAAGTTTTTCTTGTTTTAAAATGTTAGTTTAATTGTCTACAAAAAACAGTGATTGCGTTAAATTCATAACATTGTTGATGTCGTTCTTTTGAAGTAAACATTCGGTAGGGTGGAGGCCTGATAAAACCAAAATGTAAAGAGTTCATATGTTTTTGTGAGAGGAATGCTAGCTACCTTGCCTTTTTCTATTTGTCTTTCTTACTTATTACTTGATTTCACTAACAAATTAAATTGCATAATTAATGCATTAGAATTATAAATTCTATATGATACAATGGTTTAAACATAATCATCATTAGTGAATTCTAATAATGAATTTAGTAGAATATCAACATTAGGGATTAATTGCACGAGAATAGTCTCTTTTTGTAGTTGAGAAGAGTTGCACACTTACGTCTGCGATCGATGTAGAACTTTAGGAGTTTTATTATGATGTTGACACGTGTTGCATTGTGATTGACCTCCTAGTTGGATAGAAACTGTTGTGCTTCAACACAAAGGTGCCTCAACACGAATCATTTAGTGAGGCCTTGAAGTTATGAAGTTAACAGGTGCTCGGTAGTTTCGGAATTGGTAAAGTATGGTGTAAACACTAATTTTCCACCTCAAAAGTATGAATTATGTAGTTTAATTTGTTAGTGAAATACACGTGTCAAGTGATAAATGAAAAAAGTAAATAAAAAAAGGCAATTGACGAGATAACTGGCATTCTTCCGATAGTATCTTACGAATGAGGTGACCAGAGCATCTTATAGACATTTTCCTTCGTCCTCCGACGGTTGATAGATCCACGTGTATCCATGTCCTGATTAAAGTACAACCATAATTTTGTTAAACTACAAAGTAGATTCCCATTGATTGTGTAAACGTGCTTATCCAACCTAAATTTCATTCCTATTCCAACATAAAATCTTGGCCGCAAATGATAGATCTTGAAAGGCAAATCGAATTTTTTATTTAATTAAATAATAATAAAACTAGAATATTTTACAGGAAATAATTAATTAGAGGTTGCAGGATTTGTTACAATACATCGAGAAGCAGGAGATCGAATCATTAGAAAAAGCGTAAAGTAAAAGAAGCCCAAAGGTAATTAAGAAGCGGGCCTCAGACGGATTAGGGCTGTCTTAGGGTTTTGCTTAAAGAAAATTTTTTATTTAAACCCATTAATTTTAAGAATTTTAACGAAAAACTTTTACTATTGTTTAGTTTAACGAAAAACTATATTTTTACAGTAGAAATTCAATTATGGTACTATTCACTTTACCCTTTATTTTATCCTTATTGTTAAAATTCAAAGTTTTCAAACTATTTTCATTAGTTTTCCTTTAATTCTATTTTCTAACCCAATTTTTTTTTTTTGAATAAACGATATTATCTATATTAAATGAGAGATATGAGTTTAGTCTCATAATGGCTTAGCAATAATATGGTTCAAACTCGCATTTGGCGAGAACCGAACGTAACGTCTCTCATTTGTAAATAAAGGAGAATATCACTAAATTGTAATAGTAAGTAGCAACCAAACTTAATTTTTTAATCGCATGAAGACACTGATTGGGTTTGAATAAAATTTATCATTAATAAAATACTAATCATCCTTAGATTTGCCTTTGCCCTGCAACTCTCCCTCTCTCATATATATAATCAGTCTCACTCTCTCTCTCTCGCCTTCAAACCCTGCGCATAAATCCATATCGGTAACCTTTTACGATGGCTGAGGAGAGATCGACCGGGAAGGTGCGGTGGTTCAACGACGTCAAGGGCTACGGCTTCATCACCCCCGACGCCGGAGGCGAGGACCTCTTCGTCCACCAGTCCTCGATCAGATCCGACGGATTCCGCACCGTCGCGGAGGGCGAGTCCGTCGAGTTCCTCATCGACTTCGGCGATGACGGCAAGACCAAGGCCGTCGATGTGACAGGGCCTGACGGTGCGCCGTTGATCGGTAACAAGAAAGAGAGCTTCGGTCGCTCTGGTGGCCGCGGCGGAGGTGGTGGTGGTTCTGGATTTGGCGGTGGATCGAGAGGCGGTGATCGGAGGAATGGAGGTGGTTCCGGTGGTGATGGGTGCTATAGTTGCGGCGAGCCTGGGCACATGGCTAGAGATTGCCGTCAGGGCAGTGGAGGTGGCGGAGCCGGTGGAGGTGGCGGAGCCGGTGGTGGTGGCTGTTTTACTTGCGGTGGGTATGGCCACGTAGCAAGGGCTTGCCCTAATGGGACAATGGGTGGTGGTGGAGGTGGAGGTGGCGGCGGCGGCGGTGGTGGCGGTGGCTGCTACAAGTGTGGTGCATTTGGGCATTTGGCTAGGGACTGTGCTACTGGTGGGGGCGGCGGCGGCGGCGGCGGCGGCGGCGGCGGCGCTGGAGCTTGCTATAGCTGTGGGGCATATGGCCACATGGCCAGGGATTGCAGCAGCGGTGGTGGCGATGGCGGTGCTCGTGGAGGAGGACGATATGGATTCAGCTCTGGATCAGGTTGTTATAACTGTGGGGAAGCAGGGCATTTTGCTAAGGAGTGTTCTAATCCTCCTAATGCCAAGGCTTGAAGATAATAAGAGAGAAGAGAGAGAGTAATAGTAAATATTCTCTTCAAGAATCCTTAATCTGTTTTTGCTAAAGCATTAGTCCTTTAGTAATTGGGTCTCTTAATTTTGCGTTTTGGTGGGATATACATATGATGGTTTTTGCAAAAGGGTTTTGATACCTCTGATGGATGATAAGTGTTGTCGTTTGGCGAACAAGTTTTCCCCTTTTACATACATATATGTGCCGGTTCGGCTATAGAACTAGGTGCCCTTTTCATATTAATCCTTGTTATCGATGACTCTCGGAGCTATTAAATTGAAAGCCTTATATTTCAAGTGTTAACCTTGGTCTCTACTTTCGATAATCGAACAATGTGTGTGGTTTGATGATGTTCTTTTTGTTGGAAGTTGAATTAGATATTTTCAACTGTTGTGGCAGTACACGGCTGCATGCACTTGATTTTCTTGTCAAGTGTGAATTTATGTTATCTCTAATGCATTGATGTGGTGGTTTGACTGTGTTCTATTATTTTTGGTTTGGCGGAAGTTGAATTGAACGTCTTCAATTGTCTTCAACTTTAGGCAATAGAGTTGATTATCATCTTGTTTGCAGCTAGGTATTGCCACTTGCTTTTGTCATTGTTGTTGATACTGCATTGCTTATCGGGATCCTGTTTAAATTTGCTATTGTTACATCTTGTTGATGTTGAGAGATCGAGATCATGTGCAGTCTAGAAAAACTTTGTGGTGTTTCGATCATTAGGAGAAAAGGAGATGAACCACTTGCTTTTGTGTTATTAGTTAATAAGGGATATGATTTGAGATTATGCTTGATTAGTGAACTTGTGATAATCTTTGTCATAATCGATTGTTGCATATAGTATGGCTGCTGCCCTGGTGCTGCATTCACTTGAAACCTACTGTTGTGTTTGCTCCACAAAGCCCTGAATTCACATTTACACTGTCTTGATTTGGGTTTAGGTTGTATTATAGCATAAGCTGGGGTTTTGATTGTCGTTTTTTGCGTTAGGTGGACATTGGATTTGAAGTTTTAAATGACATTTAGCATTAGGATTTGACGAACAGATTGTAATAGGGTATGTGTGTGTCAGTTCATATCTACTGTTGCTTAAGTGATGGTGGGTGGGGGTAGGGCTGCAAATGACTTAAGCAGCTTGTCACTCCCATCTGCGCCTGTTTGGTTCTACCCAAGAAAAGCCTTTTAAGCCTTCCCAGCAAAGTGTTAGTATATACCGAGCTCAGTTTTCAAACTAGCATAAGCTTTAATAGGACCTGTCAAACTTGTGAATCCTTTCACGTGGATTGTTTACCTTGGAATGTTGATGGATAGATTGGAGTGTTGGTTCTATAAATCTTTTGTTGATCCCTGTCTGCCTTTGTGTGGTTTCCTTCCTGTTTAGCCCTGTGTTTCAAAGGTTACGATATAACTTTCCTCGTAGCTGTAAGCCTTTTACTTAGCTCTGGACATTAAACGCTTGGAGTGAATCGTTGTCCTACTTCCCTGTCGGTCCCTGCTCATTGTGCTGTATGAATAGTTGATAGGTTAGGAAATAGGGATAGTTTCTAACTGAACAATAATCCATACTGTCTTACCTAATTTTATTTCAATTATTCACATTCATACTATAGCCATTTGGCCATCGGTTGGAGATGATTTTTTGTGACATGGCTAAAATGAGCCATCTGGCCCATTGGCCCTTGGTTGGAGATGATGGCTAATATGGTTTTGTACTATTTTTTAAAATATTAATATCTTAGAGGACCGAAGAATTAAAACGAACCTTCGGTTGGAGATGATCTAAGTGTGTCAAATAGTTGACGATGATACCACATATGATTGAACAAATATACATGCACAGAATTGAAAAGGTCATCCCAACTCTTTTATGGTTCCAAACTTCCAATCAACACCTGCATGTCCCAACTCTTCTGTGGTTCCAACCATAAATCAAAATCTCACATTTCTTTTGTGGTTCCCACCACAGCTCTTTTAGAATTTCAGTGAAAGCTCTGCTTATCTATTTATTAGGCGGACCAAGATTGTCTGCCCTCCTATTTTTCATCCCGTTCCATCCCTTCTATTTTTCTAGCTATTGATTTCATGTTGAGTGAATTTAATGTTTCAGATTTTGTCACCTCACACATTTTCACTCTCCTTTCTTCCTCCTTGCTTCTGCTGCTGCATTCACAAACCATGGCTTCTTGTCACCTCTCTCTCCCACTTGTCATAAGCCCCAGAAGCATCATTTCGAATGGGGTGGCTTTAGAATCTTTAAAATTGAAAGCTTTAGAAGTGTCACCTGACTCACCTCTCTGTGGGACAACCGGAAGCACGCGCATATCTACTCGCAGTGGAAGATGCCTTAGTGGGACCCGCTGGATGCACCCGGATAGCCATTGAATGACGTTTCTTGG